ATTCAGTTCACTGTCCACTTCTTGTTCATCATCACCACAGACCACCTGCTTGCCCTTGTGATCTGGTACACAGCTGGTATTCGGCTGGGTGGGCATATCTGCGGGATCAATCTAATCATCTTCATCAACATCGATCACTTCAGCGGGAGTTTTATTTTCCTCCTTCATTTGAATAAACAACTGATCTGCTGTTGTAAACGAAACCTTGTTTAACCAAACTTTGTTTGGTTTGTAATTGCTTTCATTCAACACTCTCCCTTTTTCTTAGAGATATATATTTTTCAAATAATTGATATTTTTTACAAAAGCATCTGGTCGTAGTTTTGCTCAAGAGCTATAATCCTCACGATCCTCGATTCTTCCACCAACGTCTTCTTCCACCAACTGTTTTCCTAATTACGGCATCATCTAGTACTAATAGGGAAAAGTGTGACACCATTGTTGTTTTGAATGCACCATTGTTGCACTCCTGTCCCTGTGGAGAACTGTTGAGAAGGTTGTCGTTGATGGATAACTTTGGCATAGGTATCCATTGGTCTTATTATTTGAATGTCATAGTCTTCTAAGATGTTTCACAAGTCTCTGTAACTTCCTAAATAAACTGCTTTTGAAAAGTCAATGAAAGCTGTGTTAATTGCTTGATTTTTTTTAGGTTCTACAATGATCCCGAGTGTATTGATAAAAATCTACATCATTAAACTGTGGTCGAAACCCAGCCTGTTTCCTGGAGTCTATTTTCAACAGTTCCCTTGACTTAGTTTAAATTATTCTTGTTTAAAGCTTGCTAGAGATAAAGTTGCGTGATTTACCGTAGGGGCTCACATCTTGTGGGTACATGGGTGGCATCCATGCGGTCCCGATGCTGGGTCACGTCCTTCCTTAAGCGACAACACTACTAACTGGGGACATGACTCTCTTCCCTCTTCGGGGCCCTGAGTCAACTTTATTTTCGACAATGGGTTCCCAAATCTTTCAATCTTTTCTGGCCTAAGCTAGGTCAAACTCTTGCATATTTTATGGGCCCGACCTATTAGGGTACCCGAGGGGAAGGGATCCATTTCAATTTCTAAATACTAGGTATTAAATTCCATACATAATTAAAAAATGACAAACACACTTTGCACAATTTTATATCAATAGTTAGTTATTGGTACGGGGAGAATCAATATATACTTTATATAGTTTGATACATGTTTTGTATTTGGGAGTGGTTAAATGAGTTAAATATTTACATTTTTCTAATATTTCTTGATTTAAAAAAGATCGATATTGACTTACGGTATACCTGGAACAAGTATTACATCAGTCTGGAAAACCTGGCTGGAAGAGTCAGAGAATTTTATTTTCCAAAATTAGTACTAACCATGTTAATAAAAGGTCACTCGCAAAGAGTTAGACCAGATTTAACTTAATATACATAGTATATATTTAAATGTAAATGTAAAAATAAAAAATTAGGATAAATATATCGTCTGAAACATGTTTTGTATTCGGGAGTGATTAAATGAGTTAAATATTTACATTTGTCTAATATTTCTTAATTTTGAATGGTTGATTTCTACTTTCGGTATACCTGGAACAAGTATTATATCGCACATGCATAATTAGGGCCGTTTCAGTAGCCAATTTTATTTATTTCTCTGCAATAGTCACAGCTGTCTATAGCCACATCTTCAAAAAGGAAGGGTACAGTTTACCCGGGGTTGATTTTGATTTTCTTCTTGGAATTTTCAACAGTTGATGTTTGTGATTTGTAAATTATCCTAGGATTCATTTGAAGAGTTGTAACGCACATTTTTGTGTACGTTAGAATTTAAATAGATTTGAGCGTCGGATAGACAGTCTAGCAGTGTGGGGTTTCTTTATCTAAGAAAATTCCAGGGGACAGAGTTAATCGGGAGTTATCAGATAATCTTGTAATAATATTAGGCCGAATATGTAAACAAAGATAAGGGCAAACCTTTTATTACTGAATACTTTCGGTAATTTCTAATCTCTCTGGGATAGATGGATTAAAGCTTCCAAGTGTTTGTACAACACATGGGCTATCCATTATTTGCTGTGAGGCGCATACATGTTATATTCTTGCTGGTACTCGAGACATGATATATCCCATAGACCTTGCACGAATTTCAGAATAGATGGAAGGCCATACTCTATGATGGTTTTTCCAGGATACGCTTCTCTTAAGTAGTCTTCGTACATATCAGTCAACGATTCCACAAGTTGACCCCGCGACTCGAAGTCGCTGAAGGTCCTGAAGGTTTGAAACATGTTTTGTATTTGGGAGTGATTAAATGAGTTAAATATTTAAATTTTTCTAATATTTCATATTTCTTGATTTAAAAAAGTTCGATATTGACTTACGGTATACCTGGAACAAGTAATATATCAGTCTGGAAAACCTGGCTGGAAGAGTCAAGGAGTTTTATGTTCCAAATTTAGTACTAACCATGTTAATAAAAGGTCACTCGCAAAGAGTTAGACCAGATTTAACTTAATATACATAGTATATATTTAAATGTAAATGCAAAAATGAAAATTAGGATATATTTATAGTTTAAAGCATGTTTTGTATTCGGGAGTGATTAAATGAGTGAAATATTTACATTTATTGTCTAATATTTCTTGATTTTGAATGGTTGATTTCTACTTACGGTATAACTGGAACAAGTATTATATCAGTCTTGAAAACCTGGAAAAGTCAGGGAATTTTATTTTCCAAATTTAAAAAGGTCACTCGCAAAGAGTTAGACCGGATTTAACTTCCAAATTCAAATTCTTGCTTACAGTTTTTGCATCTCAGATTCATTTTTTCAATAATCTGTTTTATCAATTTTTTATTTACCACAAGACAATGTTTCACAATGTGTGTTTTTTAGCTCCGGCCTAAGTAATAAAGGTGTTTCCACATAGGCACTCAACATTCGCACCTGCATAATTAGGCCTGTTGCATTCATCTTAGTGCGTAAAGTAGCCAATTTTATTTATTTCTCTGCAATAGTCACAGCTGTCTATAGCCACATCTTCAAAAAGAAAGGGTACAGTTTACCCGGGGTTGATTTTGATTTTCTTCTTGGAATTTTCAACAGTTGATGTTTGTGATTTGTAAATTATCCTAGGATTCATTTGAAGAGTTGTAACGCACATTTTTGTGTACGTTAGAATTTAAATAGATTTGAGCGTCGGATAGACAGTCTAGCAGTGTGGGGTTTCTTTATCTAAGAAAATTCCAGGGGACAGAGTTAATCGGGAGTTATCAGATAATCTTGTAATAATATTAGGCCGAATTTCTAATCTCTCTGGGATAGATGGATTAAAGCTTCCAAGTCAAATTAGGATTACTGAAAGATATGGCCAATTTAAAATAAAATACGTAATTGATTCAGAGTGTGGTATTTCTCATGCGAGACCAGCCCACAGGTGTTGGTGGTTTAACCACTCATCATAACATCATAATCAATTACGTTGATCGGGAAAATTGAATGACTTTACCCTGGTGAACGGTGATAATTGACAAATTTCTTGACTATTCAGCTCGAATACTTTAATTGTTATAAGTTGAAATGGCCGTTTGTCGAGTAGAAAGGACACGATTGACTAACCAACAAAGGGAGGTTGGTGTCAATAAGCTCAGGACTGTTAGTGGAGGTTAGCAATATACAGCAATGTACTCTATGATACCTGTACTATGTTCTAATATCAAAGCCAATTAGCCTTAGGAGTGCTAGCGTCAGTTAAGATTCAAGTATCAAGTAATTAGCAGATTATTAGCACACTGTATGTTGACTAACTAACGGTTTAAGAAGGTTAGCGTCAGTACAGGGATCTCGGGGAGTATTAAGCTGACCAACTAGCTAGAGGAGTGCTAGTGTCAGTTAAGAGACAATTAATAATTAATTAGCAAAGAATTAGCAGAATGTTAAGCTGACTAAATAACGGTATAAAAAGGTTGGTAAAATAGTGAAAATCAATACAAACTAGGGAATGTTTGATTGCCGTCTCCTACCTTCGACAGATGAATTCCAGGACACTAATTACTCCAAGGGTTCATGCCGGCCGAAAAAGGATTCTAAGAAGGTTAAAACTCGAACTGCTCGGATTTAGAGTCGTAGATCAACTGTCCGACCCCCTGGAGTCGATCGCGGCCGCAGAGAAGGTTAGCCGCTTGTGCGCATGTCCGGTGGTGTGCAGGAATCGACACGCCGGTCCGGCCAAAAGAGTCCACGGCGCATGGTCGGTGGCCTACACGTTAAACACTGTCAACTGGACTGGCGGGCTTTTCAAACACTCTAAACTTGTACTAATTCCCAACTCCATAAAATTAACTAATCATATATGTAATTTTCTCAAGTAATAATTTCTGATAACTGATTTAAATATTTAAATTATTTATTTTCAAGCTGAGGTGTAATCTTATTCTAGTATTCAGGCTATTTCCTATTAAATAAAATACACTTTTGTAACATAGTAAAAAAAATATGTTACATTCTCCTCTCAACTTCTATAACAAAAAAAAAAGCCTTAAAAAAAGAACTAAAACTATCTCGGGAGTAGGGAAGGATAGATGTGGGCCCACCGGAAAGGTAGGGTGCTTCCACTCATAGGTATAATGTAAGGTATATTTTTTTTTTGGAAATAAAATAATGTAGCCCTTTTTTCCCAAAGTAAACAAAATATATTCCTAGTAGCCTTACACTTTTTGGCTCTTATCCTACTCTAGACAAACATTTAACACAATTGAAGACTCCTTGGGTAAAGACTTAATTAAAAATATCCATGATGCAAAAACAGAAAAAGGAACAAAAAACAATCACTTCTAACGTAAAGGAACAAAAAAAGAATCACAGCTCCGGAACTTATTCACTTCTACCACTTCTTGGTAACAACATCAGAAAGATTTAACTAAAAATAACCATTTTTCTAAAACGAAAAAGATACCTTAAAACAAAATAACTTCTCTGGGCCTTATTTATTTATTTTTTTATTTATTTTTTTTTTTAGTAACCTAGCAAAAGTTTTCTGGGCACCCGCAGTTTGGTGCCGTCGGGCAGGTAAATTGTCCTCTTCTTGTTCCTCCGCCGCCACCTTCTGGGCTGGAACGTCGACGGCTCCTCCCTCGGAGTGACCACATGGGGTTCGTCCGGGACAGTGTTGGTCGTAGCCTCTTCTTGCTCCGGAGTGGCCGTACAGTCCATGTCTTCCAGAAGCTCTTCTGACGCCTGGACTGACAAGCAAGGGGAGGCAGGCGAAGCAACGACGACTGGTGGAGGCAGAAGATCTCCCTCAGCTACTCCGACTAAGGCGTCCTCGATCACCTTCTCCCAATCCTCTTCCCCTGACTGCAATGCTGGCTTCCGGTCGATAGGTGAGTCGCAGGCTTCGCCCAGGGCCTCCATCAGGGTGTTCAAATCCATGGCTGGTGAGGGGGAAGGTGCGCTGCCTTTGGATGCCTCTTCCATCCATTCCCAACCGGACAGGTCTATTGGGATTTCTCCTTGGAGACTTACGCTTCCCAAATGTTGGTTTGTTAGGGTCTCGACTATGTGATTACGCCACCACTTGGTGTCCAACTCGAAGGGAGCGTGCGGGATGGGTTGCTTCCTGGACAGCAGCTCAGCAAACCATAGTACAAAGATTCCACAGTCCACTCCATTCTTTTGACGTGGCCCTAAATCAGAGGTGTCCTGCAGATGCCAGGCTTCCGGGGACCAGGGAATGTCATTCACCCGCGCGTATCTCTGCAGAGCGTGAAATAGCTGTCGCATCTCCTGGGGGTGTTTGTATCCCATCGAATCATACGCGTGAACCTGCTTCTTTTCTGGGTGTACCGATAGCAGAGCCCAGTGCCCCACAGGCTTTCCAGGGATGAAGAGTGGCACCAGCAGGAGCTCCGGTAGCAAGGGGTTCACTCGCCTGAATCGCCGAGTGGCGGCATCGATTCTTCTCCTCCGTAGGTCGGTCAGGAAAAGTGAGTCAATACACATGGTGTTTGGTAGTCCGGGGGTATGGCGACTTCGCCGCTCTAGTAGACGCAAATAGCTGTCTATATGCAGATCGTTTAGGTAGCCCCCTTTCTCACCATCTGACAAGGGTAGTAGACGCAGTTTGTCAATTTCCTGTTTTGGGACCTTTATAAGTTCTCGCTCCATGCCTGTAACAGAAAGTGAATGTGTGTCGGGATCAGTAGGATACGACAATCGTCGGGTTAGTAGGGAGGAAGGGGCGACACACCCGCGGTGCAGGAGTGCGAGGTGTCTAGGAGTGAAACAATTTAAGGTCCTTGGCATGAGCCACGCAGGTAGTTTGGTTCCCCTGACATTCCAGCCTAAACATGTTTCGCCCTATCCCTGCGATAATTTTGAATGGTCCGTCAAATTTTGGTGCCAGCTTGCCTGCTACGTGATCAATAGCCGAAGAGAGAACATGCGTCCTTTTTAGCACAAGTTGACCAATTTGGAATGGATTCTCACGATGACGTAGGTTGTAATAGCGGGCCTGACGGTTGTGCGATGCTTGCAGACTAGCTTGGCACTTATTCTTCAATCGCTCCATCAGCTGAATGCGTTGGCGATGTCTATCGTCTGTAGAAACATTCTCATTGGCACCTTCCTCCATTAAGGCGCCGTAGAGTGAGTGAGGTGGCTTTAGTTCCCGACAGAAATTTAACATGGCAGGGGTATACCCTGTTGACTCGTGAACTGAGGTGTTAACAGCAAATCGAAATTCGTCAAGGTGGTCATCCCACGCGCGATGATCACCCTTCACGTATTGAGCGATCATTGTTTTTAAGACTCTGTTTTCTCGCTCTGTCGGATTTCCTTGGGGAGAGTACGGGGCAGTAAACTGGTGAGTAATGTTCCAGCTCTTAGTTAGTGCGGAAAATATCTTAGAGGTATATTGGGTGCCATTGTCAGTGACCAGAACTTCCGGGGCACCATATCGTAGTAGGATAAGATCCGTGAATCTTTTGGAGACCTGATGGCTAGTAGCATTTGTCAAAGGCGCTAGCTCCACCCACTTGGTAAAAGAGTCCTGACACACCAGTAAAAAGCGATTTCCTTTGCGAGAACGAGGAAGCGGCCCGACGAGGTCACTAGTGACGGTATACCAAGGACCGTGAGGTTGACGAAAGTGCATCTTCCCAATGGCTTTCTGTTGGTCCACCTTGTGCCGTTGGCATATCTCACATTTTCGCACATAGTCCTTGACAGCCTTCCGACAGTGGGGCCAGTAATAGCGGGCTGTTAATCTCTGTATGGTTTTGAACATCCCAAGGTGTCCTGCAGTAGGGGAGTCATGAGTTTCTTTCAGTACTGAGGCTTGGAGATCTGGAGGGACACACAGTTTCCACCAAGACGAAGAATCGCCCTTAGTAGACCGAGATTTAATTCTCTTGTACACCTTCCCGTCTCGAAGGGTGTAATTCCTTCCATACTTTCCTTTCGTTAACTTTTCCCTAATGTCAACTAGCCAATTAGCCTTCTTGGGATTTCTCGTGTCATATTTTGGGTCCACTACGCTATCCTGCATTGACCTCGTGGTATTTCCAGTGGTCGCACAGCTTAATACTCTTTCTTCTCCCTTTACTTCAGGGCATTCTAACGTCGGGTAACGAGAAAGGGCGTCCGGGACCTTATGTAGAGCTCCTTTCCGGTATTGTATGTCAAAGTCCAGTTGTTGCAGCTCGAGGATCCAGCGAGCCAGTCTCCCAGATGGTTTCTCTAGTGACATCAACCATTTTAGGGCTTGGTGGTCCGATATAGCCGTGAAATGGTATCCCTCTATGTATGGTCGGAACTTCCGAGTGGCCCAGACGAGTGCCAAACATTCCTTTTCGGTAGTGGAGAATTTTTTCTCGCCATCAGAAAGAAGACGACTTGCGAAAGCAATCACCTTTTCCCCATCATCCAGCTGTTGGGTTAATGCAGCCCCGAGTCCTTCGTTTGAGGCATCGACTTGAAGGGTGAAAGGCTTAGTGAAGTCTGGACAGCTTAATATCGGAGCCGAAGTAAGCTTTTGCTTCAGAGTCTCGAACGCTTCTTGTTGAGCTTCACGCCAATCCCATTGACCATGTTTCTTAAGCAGTTTTGTTAGTGGTGCTGATATCCGGGCAAAATCAGGAACAAACTTCCGATACCAAGATGCCAGGCCAAGAAAACTTCGGACTCCTTTTACGGACTTTGGAGCTGGAAAATCAACAATAGATTGTACCTTCTCGGGGTCCGTACCAATGCCTGTGTCGTCTACAATATGGCCCAGATATTTTAATTTCTGTTGGCAGAAGTTGCATTTTTCCACATTCATTACCAGCCCAGCCTCACGCAGTCGTTTGAATACCAATTTCAGAATTTCAAGATGTTGGTCAAAATCCTTGGAGACAATAATGAGATCGTCTAGGTAGGCGAAAGCATGGGGTTCAAACTCAGGTCCGATTACTTGGTCCAACAAACGCTGGAATGTCGCTGGCGCAGAGTGTAGTCCAAAGCACATGACCTTCCATTGGAATAATCCCCGGCCTGGAATCGTAAAGGCTGTGATTGGTCGGCTCTTCTCCTCCAAAGGCACTTGCCAATATCCATTGCGTAGGTCAATGGTTGAAATATATTTAGCTTCCCGCAGCTTGTCGAGTATAGCATTGATTTGTGGCAAGGGATATGCATCCTTTTCCGAACACTGATTCACCCGACGCAGATCCACACAAACCCTATATTTCCCAGAGGGCTTTTTGATGAGTACTAGAGGTGAACTCCACGGACTTGAAGATGGTTCAATGACGTCCTCCGCCAACATTTGATCAATTTCTTCGTTAATCACGGCCTGCATAGCCGGATTCCGGGGATAATATCGCTGCTTAATCGGCGTGAACGATTTTAGACGGATTTGATGTTGTAACAGCGTGGTGCGGCCCGGAACGTCTTTGAATAGCTCCAGCTCCTTCTTCAAAAATTCCTGGAGACGCTGATTTTGAACTTCGGTTAGAGTTGAGATCGCATTTGTGGAAGGTGACTCATTTCTCATAGACTGTTGCTTCGGGGGTATATACTTCGGTATCTGGATCAATTTCTCTGCCTGGATAACGTCCATACCAATAATCATCGGTGAAGTTAGCTGAGGTAAATAGAGTGCTCGTATGATGCATTGATGTTGATTATTCTGGCTGTGAATTCAAAAGCCTGGTTTACCACCGCACGAGAATTATCAGCCAGGCTTAGCGAGATATTTGATCTCTTGGCTTGATATCCACTCGTAATCAAATGTTGGGCTACCTTTTCTCCCACAATAGTAGCTATAGATCCCGTGTCCAACAGTGCTCGAAAGACTTTGCCGCTGATGTTAATAGTGATGAAGGGCCGAGTGTCCGCAGATTCGTGTTCTGCAAAATCACTTATACTGAAATTCTTTATAAATTCTAACCATTTCTTCCAGCTGGCTAGTTCTGAGGCTTCTCCTTCTCGAGACTCGGGTTGCCTCTGCTGTTCCGGCCTCGACTCACATTTCCCGATAGACATCGACAATCTATGGTACGAATCCCTTCGGTTTTACAATGGACACATCTTAGTTTATTTGGTAAGCGGCATTCCTTATACGCATGTCCAGGTTTTTCACAATTGAAACAGCGAACTATCTTCGGCACCGGGCAGTCTCGATATAAGTGGTCACTCTTCAAGCAGTTCCAACATGAAGATCTCGTATTAGGTGCAGAAGCTGGTGAGGGAGACGCCTGGTGCGAAACCAATTTTGTCCGAGCTACCGTGTGGCTATTGTTTGTACTCCGGTTGGGTTGCAATCTTGGTGGGGGATGTAGAGATTTTCCTGTGAACTGTGATTCGTCACTGGGGGACGGATGGTTTAAAAGCTGACTTACGGCATCTATCTTGAAAACGTTTGATGAGCGAGTTTTAGTGTTGTAGGCTGTTTCCGGAACTAACGCTTGAGCAGGGTTCGGGGGTGGTCGGAAATTTTTCTTCTCCCGGAGGTAAAGTTCATATCCTTCAGCTTGATGAAGAAAGTCTCTAACCGTGTGAAAATTCTCTCTTCGCATTATAAGCTTGTACTCTGGCCTCATGTTTGAGTAAAGTTTGTTCAGTGTCTCGTTCACTGAAAAGGTACCTCTACGACGCATAAGGGTGGTGAGAGCTACCGTAAATTTTCTGATTGGTTCTAATTCACCTTGTGTCCTTTTTAGGATTTCCAGGTCCAAATTTCTCAAATAGTCCGGGGGGTAGTATTGTTCCTTAAAACTGGTCAGAAAGTCGTCATAAGTGTTCAAAGAGGACTTAATGTTCCTATACCAGAAAAGGGCTTCACCTTTCAGGAGTTCTGGTAACACCTTCATCAGCATATCGCAAGATATGTCATATGATTCCTGTAGTTCGCACAGTCGCTCCATAAATGACACTGCGTCGTGGTCACCGTCAAATTTAAGGCCCCATTTCCTGACCTGAGTGCAGACTTGGGATACGTCCTTGGTCTTAGTGTTCGGGGAGAAGTTGTTAGCTTCTACTTCATTCTGTTTTTCCAAATTCGCAAATGACCGATTCTGCTGAGATGATCGAGGAAATAAGTACTCTTGAAATTCTGAATGTGGCCCTAGAGCGGTGTTTCCCTCGTGGTAGGGATGGAAAGTAGCTTGCGGTTTTGTGACTGGGTAGGTCCCTTCGTGGCTAGACGACACCTTGAGCTTTTCTTGTACCTCTCGGAAGCTTGCAGAAGAGGGAAGACCTAGCATTTCACGGATACTTATCTCCTCGGCGCTACGGATACTATGTGGACGAGATGTTGGAATGGGTGGTCTCGATGCGAAGGCAACTTGGGTGTTGTCATAGGATGGTGGTTGAAGCAGTCCACTCGCAACTATGCCAAGTGGGTGTACAGGAGGTTGTGTGGTTGCCGTCAGAGTTGATGTTTCTTCGTAATTTCCCCCGTTTCGGATGAATGAGCTGAACCTTCTTCGAAGAGTATCCACGTTTCCTTCAATGGATAAATTAAACTTCAACATTTCATTTTCAAGTTCATGTCGTCTGAGAAGATAGATCCATCCTGTTCTGGGATCCGATTCGCTAGGGGATATAGTATCAGTTCTCGCGGGTGGTATCTGTAGACCGGGGCAACTAGCAGTCATTGCAGCCGGGGTCTGGTCTATTGACGTAACTAGTTGCTTAGGGATAGCTCCCGTAGCTGTTGACGGTGTCGTCGATATCAAGCCGGACGATGGTATATCTGTCGTCATTAAGGTAGAAGTTTCTGCTAACGGAGAAGGAGTTACCGGTGGTGGAGACAACGTGTGAGCGCTTGTTGTTGGTGTCACCCGCGAAGATGTACTAGTGGTGGTAGGAGCACTAGCTATTCTCGTTGTAGGTTGAATTTTCGAGGATCGGCCATTTTTTGAGTCACTTCCATTCACTCCCATGAAGAGAAGATTATTCCAAGGTTTGATCAAGTATTTCAAAGGAAACATCAATGAACTGTCCATTGTTAATTCAAGGTTTGTAGCAGGCAAGCGGCAAAGCAGAGAAAACTTTTGCAAAAGCGTTTAGTTTAGCAGAAATACTACTAGGATTATATGGAAAAGGTCGTTATATACAGGACAAACAACCACGGAGAAATATTCAGGAGTAGAACAAGAGGTGGACTGGGAAACTTCCTATTTAAGTGAGAGCTTACAAGTCACAAATTCCCTATTACAAGTCCCTGTTCGGGCGCCATTTTGTAACGCACATTTTTGTGTACGTTGGAATTTAAATAGATTTGAGCGTCGGATAGACAGTCTAGCAGTGTGGGGTTTCTTTATCTAAGAAAATTCCAGGGGACAGAGTTAATCGGGAGTTATCAGATAATCTTGTAATAATATTAGGCCGAATATGTAAACAAAGATAAGGGCAAACCTTTTATTACTGAATACTTTCGGTAATTTCTAATCTCTCTGGGATAGATGGATTAAAGCTTCCAAGTCAAATTAGGATTACTGAAAGATATGGCCAATTTAAAATAAAATACGTAATTGATTCAGAGTGTGGTATTTCTCATGCGAGACCAGCCCACAGGTGTTGGTGGTTTAACCACTCATCATAACATCATAATCAATTACGTTGATCGGGAAAATTGAATGACTTTACCCTGGTGAACGGTGATAATTAACAAATTTCTTGACTATTCAGCTCGAATACTTTAATTGTTATAAGTTGAAATGGCCGTTTGTCGAGTAGAAAGGACACGATTGACTAACCAACAAAGGGAGGTTGGTGTCAATAAGCTCAGGACTGTTAGTGGAGGTTAGCAATATACAGCAATGTACTCTATGATACCTGTACTATGTTCTAATATCAAAGCCAATTAGCCTTAGGAGTGCTAGCGTCAGTTAAGATTCAAGTATCAAGTAATTAGCAGATTATTAGCACACTGTATGTTGACTAACTAACGGTTTAAGAAGGTTAGCGTCAGTACAGGGATCTCGGGGAGTATTAAGCTGACCAACTAGCTAGAGGAGTGCTAGTGTCAGTTAAGAGACAATTAATAATTAATTAGCAAAGAATTAGCAGAATGTTAAGCTGACTAACTAACGGTATAAAAAGGTTGGTAAAATAGTGAAAATCAATACAAACTAGGGAATGTTTGATTGCCGTCTCCTACCTTCGACAGATGAATTCCAGGACACTAATTACTCCAAGGGTTCACGCCGGCCGAAAAAGGATTCTAAGAAGGTTAAAACTCGAACTGCTCGGATTTAGAGTCGTAGATCAACTGTCCGACCCCCTGGAGTCGATCGCGGCCGCAGAGAAGGTTAGCCGCTTGTGCGCATGTCCGGTGGTGTGCAGGAATCGACACGCCGGTCCGGCCAAAAGAGTCCACGGCGCATGGTCGGTGGCCTACACGTTAAACACTGTCAACTGGACTGGCGGGCTTTTCAAACACTCTAAACTTGTACTAATTCCCAACTCCATAAAATTAACTAATCATATATGTAATTTTCTCAAGTAATAATTTCTGATAACTGATTTAAATATTTAAATTATTTATTTTCAAGCTGAGGTGTAATCTTATTCTAGTATTCAGGCTATTTCCTATTAAATAAAATACACTTTTGTAACATAGTAAAAAAAATATGTTACAGAGTATTTTCTTGACTTTCGACAACATGGTTCTCTTCTAAATCGAAAAATGAAGTATTTTCGTGACTTTTAAATGAACGTTTAACATCTGGAATTGTAAACAACTTGTAGTTACGTATAACTAATGAAATAATGATATCGTTAGTAGTTAAATATTAAACTGTGTAATCCTCACAGAACGAAGGTTTTAAGTACACAAATAATTTACTGACAGTAGATCTAATCTAAAGAATCTAACAACCCAATCATTTTTTCCTTGAGGCATTGCTTTATTGTTCATTGATGATGCATCTTCCCCGTTTTCTATGATACTTGTTGACACTTTCAGTTGTTTTCATCTTAAACTGATACTGTATTGTTTCACACTCTTCACTAAACAATTTTTACACAATTTTTTAAACAAATTTTTTAGATTATCTTTCTCAAAATATAGGCTAGTTTATAAATCCATTCCATAGGCTGGGAAACTTCCGGCTCGTGAGGACCATGTTACCTTATTAGAATAAAATCTCATTAGGCATAAGATCAGTTTGCGTGTTTTGTAGCTAAGTGTTTGTACAACACATGGGCTATCCATTATTTGTTGTGAGGCGCATACATGTTATATTCTTGCTGGTACTCGAGACATGATATATCCCATAGACCTTGCACGAATTTCAGAATAGATGGAAGGCCATACTCTATGATGGTTTTTCCAGGATACGCTTCTCTTAAGTAGTCTTCGTACACATCAGTCAACGATTCCACAAGTTGACCCCGCGACTCGAAGTCGCTGAAGGTCCTGAAGGTTTGAAACATGTTTTGTATTTGGGAGTGATTAAATGAGTTAAATATTTAAATTTTTCTAATATTTCATATTTCTTGATTTTAAAAAGTTCGATATTGACTTACGGTATACCTGGAACAAGTAATATATCAGTCTGGAAAACCTGGCTGGAAGAGTCAAGGAGTTTTATGTTCCAAATTTAGTACTAACCATGTTAATAAAAGGTCACTCGCAAAGAGTTAGACCAGATTTTACTTAATATATATAGTATATATTTAAATGTAAATACAAAAATGAAAATTAGGATATTTTTATAGTTTAAATCATGTTTTGTATTCGGGAGTGATTAAATGAGTGAAATATTTACATTTGTCTAATATTTCTTGATTTTGAATGGTTGATTTCTACTTACGGTATACCTGGAACAAGTATTATATCAGTCTTGAAAACCTGGAAAAGTCAGGGAATTTTATTTTCCAAATTGAAAAAGGTCACTCGCAAAGAGTTAGACCGGATTTAACTTCCAAATTCAAATTCTTGCTTACAGTTTTTGCATCTCAGATTCATTTTTTCAATAATCTGTTTTATCAATTTTTTTTTTACCACAAGACAATGTTTCACAATGTGTGTTTTTTAGCTCCGGCCTAAGTAATAAAGGTGTTTCCACATAGGCACTCAACATTCGCACCTGCATAATTAGGCCTGTTGCATTCATCTTAGTGCGTAAAGTAGCCAATTTTATTTATTTCTCTGCAATAGTCACAGCTGTCTATAGCCACATCTTCAAAAAGAAAGGGTACAGTTTACCCGGGGTTGATTTTGATTTTCTTCTTGGAATTTTCAACAGTTGATGTTTGTGATTTGTAAATTATCCTAGGATTCATTTGAAGAGTATTTTCTTGACTTTCGACAACATGGTTCTCTTCTAAATCGAAAAATGAAGTATTTTCGTGACTTTTAAATGAACGTTTGTCATCTGGAATTGTAAAAAACTTGTAGTTACGGATAACTATTGAAATAATGATATCGTTAGTAGTTAAATATTAAACTGTGTAATCCTCACAGAACGAAGGTTTTAAGTACACAAATAATTTACTGACAGTTGATCTAATCTAAAGAATCTAACAACCCAATCATTTTTTCCTTGAGGCATTGTTTTATTGTTCATTGATGATGCATCTTCCCCGTTTTCTATGATACTTGTTGACACTTTCAGTTGTTTTCATCTTAAACTGATACTGTATTGTTTCACACTCTTGACTAAACAATTTTTACACAATTTTTTAAACAAATTTTTTAGATTATCTTTCTCAAAATATAGGCTAGTTTATAAATCCATTCCATAGGCTGGGAAACTTCCGGCTCGTGAGGACCATGTTACCTTATTAGAATAAAATCTCATTAGGCATAAGATCAGTTTGCGTGTTTTGTAGCTAAGTGTTTGTACAACACATGGGCTATCCATTATTTGTTGTGAGGCGCATACATGTTATATTCTTGCTGGTACTCGAGACATGATATATCCCATAGACCTTGCACGAATTTCAGAATAGATGGAAGGCCATACTCTATGATGGTTTTTCCAGGATACGCTTCTCTTAAGTAGTCTTCGTACACATCAGTCAACGATTCCACAAGTTGACCCCGCGACTCGAAGTCGCTGAAGGTCCTGAAGGTTTGAAACATGTTTTGTATTTGGGAGTGATTAAATGAGTTAAATATTTAAATTTTTCTAATATTTCATATTTCTTGATTTTAAAAAGTTCGATATTGACTTACGGTATACCTGGAACAAGTAATATATCAGTCTGGAAAACCTGGCTGGAAGAGTCAAGGAGTTTTATGTTCCAAATTTAGTACTAACCATGTTAATAAAAGGTCACTCGCAAAGAGTTAGACCAGATTTTACTTAATATATATAGTATATATTTAAATGTAAATACAAAAATGAAAATTAGGATATTTTTATAGTTTAAATCATGTTTTGTATTCGGGAGTGATTAAATGAGTGAAATATTTACATTTGTCTAATATTTCTTGATTTTGAATGGTTGATTTCTACTTACGGTATACCTGGAACAAGTATTATATCAGTCTTGAAAACCTGGAAAAGTCAGGGAATTTTATTTTCCAAATTGAAAAAGGTCACTCGCAAAGAGTTAGACCGGATTTAACTTCCAAATTCAAATTCTTGCTTACAGTTTTTGCATCTCAGATTCATTTTTTCAATAATCTGTTTTATCAATTTTTTTTTTACCACAAGACAATGTTTCACAATGTGTGTTTTTTAGCTCCGGCCTAAGTAATAAAGGTGTTTCCACATAGGCACTCAACATTCGCACCTGCATAATTAGGCCTGTTGCATTCATCTTAGTGCGTAAAGTAGCCAATTTTATTTATTTCTCTGCAATAGTCACAGCTGTCTATAGCCACATCTTCAAAAAGAAAGGGTACAGTTTACCCGGGGTTGATTTTGATTTTCTTCTTGGAATTTTCAACAGTTGATGTTTGTGATTTGTAAATTATCCTAGGATTCATTTGAAGAGTATTTTCTTGACTTTCGACAACATGGTTCTCTTCTAAATCGAAAAATGAAGTATTTTCGTGACTTTTAAATGAACGTTTGTCATCTGGAATTGTAAAAAACTTGTAGTTACGGATAACTATTGAAATAATGATATCGTTAGTAGTTAAATATTAAACTGTGTAATCCTCACAGAACGAAGGTTTTAAGTACACAAATAATTTACTGACAGTTGATCTAATCTAAAGAATCTAACAACCCAATCATTTTTTCCTTGAGGCATTGTTTTATTGTTCATTGATGATGCATCTTCCCCGTTTTCTATGATACTTGTTGACACTTTCAGTTGTTTTCATCTTAAACTGATACTGTATTGTTTCACACTCTTCACTAAACAATTTTTACACAATTTTTTAAACAAATTTTTTAGATTATCTTTCTCAAAATATAGGCTAGTTTATAAATCCATTCCATAGGCTGGGAAACTTCCGGCTCGTGAGGACCATGTTACCTTATTAGAATAAAATCTCATTAGGCATAAGATCAGTTTGCGTGTTTTGTAGCTAAGTGTTTGTACAACACATGGGCTATCCATTATTTGCTGTGAGGCGCATACATGTTATATTCTTGCTGGTACTCGAGACAGGATATATCCCATAGACCTTGCACGAATTTCAGAATAGATGGAAGGCCATACTCTATGATGGTTTTTCCAGGATACGCTTCTCTTAAGTAGTCTTCGTACATATCAGTCAACGATTCCACAAGTTGACCCCGCGACTCGAAGTCGCTGAAGGTCCTGAAGGTTTGAAACATGTTTTGTATTTGGGAGTGATTAAATGAGTTAAATATTTAAATTTTTCTAATATTTCATATTTCTTGATTTAAAAAAGTTCGATATTGACTTACGGTATACCTGGAACAAGTAATATATCAGTCTGGAAAACCTGGCTGGAAGAGTCAAGGAGTTTTATTTTCCAAATTTAGTACTAACCATGTTAATAAAAGGTCACTCGCAAAGAGTTAGACCAGATTTAACTTAATATATATAGTATATATTTAAATGTAAATGCAAAAATGAAAATTAGGATATTTTTATAGTTTAAATCATGTTTTGTATTCGGGAGTGATTAAATGAGTGAAATATTTACATTTGTCTAATATTTCTTGATTTTGAATGGTTGATTTCTACTTACGGTATACCTGGAACAAGTATTATATCAGTCTTGAAAACCTGGAAAAGT